TTTAACGAGTTGCGCCATGGGTTGAGGTCGGCAGCCGCCATGATAGATATTTACTTGCATTTCCTGTTTTTACACCTAAAATATAAAAACTTGAGTGGTTAATTATGTTTATACAGCGTATTAAATAACAGATGATTATTTCGAGTGAATCTCAGTTAAATTGAAGATACACATGTTTATGAATTTTAATATCTGTATGAATAACAGAGTACAAGGTGGTATAATAATTAACGTACCAGTGAAATAAGTACCTTAAATAGTTAGCATGAGAGATCCAAATATACTCGTATAAAATTAATTAAATTGATTGTTACCTTTAAGAATGTCATGTACACTACTGAGAAAACGGGTGAAGTCTGTATTCTAACTTTCAGTACTTGTAAATCTGTGGATATAAATGACACATTATCACCAAGTAAGAAAAAAGGGTTATGGAGGAGTGGCAATATTTTGGATAAAAGGGTTGAGTAAAAATGTCCAGGCACTATCAGACGGGGGTAACCGATATTACACATTATGATAATATATAGAGAAAATCATTTATTTAAGTTCTTTAATGAAAAAAAAAAATTATCAATCAGAAATGGTTCATAAAGCACAAAAGGATAAAGAACAATTAGGTTTTGGCTACTAATGAATAAATGAAATTTAATTTCTTACGGATGGTGACAAATCGATGATTTTATAACCTCTCAGTTACCTGCGGTTGTTTTTGGTCCAAAATAAAATTGGCAGGACAAAAAAGTGAACAAATGCTTTGAAAGAAAAGTAATACAGTTACACATCAATAAGAATATTTTAGTTTGTAACAAGTACTAGTCTTTTCTTTCTTTCTTTTTTCCTTACCAGAATTACAGTCTAATTGTTACATACCTAAGGTTCCAGTAACTGGTCCTCCAAGAAACATTCTGTAGTTGTCTGTCTCACCAGAAAGCAAAAATTGATTTATTATTCAAAAAATGTTGTCATTTTGTAGTGTGATGAAGACGAACAGAGATGAGTTCCGTTCATTTCCTTTGTTAGCTGATGAATCACATCATTTCCTTGTGGATGATATAAGTCGTTGAAACAAGAGGTCCACGGGTCACAACGCTCACCTGAATCTTTTTGGACCTACCGTTCTTCTTCAGGGGTTTTAAAAGATAGCTTTTATAATTCCCATGAAAAATTTTGACCTAAACTGTGACCTAATCTTAGCCCCAATGTGTCACATTGTGATTCAACCAAGCCCACGAATCCACAGGTGGATATGTTTCAATATCAGTATGACTAACATGGCTTGCTGTCTACCAAAGAAGTTAAGGATGGAATCCTATTTCTTATTCAAACGGATGAAATATGGAGATAACGAACAGTACTCAAGCTCACGTTCATTTAAACAATACAAATCAGGATCACAGTGAGCATACCCTGCCGACCGGTCACGCCGGCCGTGTGCTCCTTGTCATGTTCAGGAAAATGGAAAAACCCGTAGACAATTCAGTGTGTAAATAATGACCTAAAACTTAGTATGAAAATATCAGTCAGCATTTGACTTATTGATAGATTATATTTGCTGACAAGGTCATTGTATCGACTATAGATCATATAGAACTTGCGAAATAATAAATAAAATAATATAACATATAGACAGTCCCTTTTAAAAAAATGTATTGTATTTACTTACTGTAAAACAATTAGTGGCTTTTTCATCTGTTGATTGCTGGTTCTGATAAACCTAGAATAGTACTGCTAGGAATCGCAGTTGGTGCTGAATACCTTGCTGTTTTCGCTGCCCTTGGAGGATGGTATCGAATGCCAATTTGCAAAAGACTTTGAGTTTCACGCTATCTTAGAATGTGAAGATTAATTGACAGAAAAAAGATTACCCAATGCAATTATTGCAATTATTTCTTTAAAACTTATGTTATCAAATTCATCAATATTATGCCAACCTAAAAGAATAAATAGATATGCTGGTAAACTTTGTGTTTTTTAAAAGAACGAGGGCGCTTCTGATTGGCATTCGGCAGGAATCTGGGCGCACTTGAAAAGTGAAAATTTCATTGATCTATCACACGAAATTTTAGCAGTCTTTGGATTATTTGGGTTCCTATGAAATAGGAAAGGGAAATATTTTCCCGATATTGTATTTTGATTTGCTAAAAAATAACTTGAAAATAGGCTAGATGATTCATTTGGTACAAGATGTCACATTTTTAAACACGTTTTCTAAAAATTTGCTATCTCTGGGTCATCTCTCCATGATTTTCAAACGTTATTTGTATGCATTACAATTCAAGGAAACAAACAATCATTTGTAAAAAATGGAGAGAAAACCCAGAGACCATAAAAATGATCTTTTCCCCCAAAAAAATTCCAATGCGTAAATGCGGTGTTTCAGGTCGTTTTAAAAGCCAAGTTGTATGTGTAGCGATGATAGCTCAGTAATATGTGTTACCCGTCCAGTGCTATCGAGTCGAAAATTTTTTGGTTCGATCCTAGCAGGGAGCGTTAATATTTTTTCTTAACGCAAACAATCAATTCTTTCGTCAGTTTAATTTTTTGTACTGGATTATTTTAAAATGGATAAATTCTGGTTCTGTTGCATCGAGAGCGAAATCAATTCTTGCAACCGACTGATACTTTAATATACACATGTACTTGTAATTGCATTTAACTATACCCTTATTAACTTGTAGGTGTTTATTATTTATGTGAAGCAACACTGTGTTATAGTTTGATTATTAAGTTAAGCGGACATAAATATGAAAATTTTACATGTTATTTCAAACTAAATGTAACATTTTCCATGTGTGTAATTTTGTAAAGCCTGTCCAGCTGTGTTCAGTCGACCAGATCGTGAACATTTTAACTATAAATGTTTCGTACACATGATTCCTGCCGATCACACGCCAAATACGCCCATTTTCTTTACGATGCTTCCAGTCCTCCTGGATTTCTTCATTTTTTGCCCACTTTTTCCACTTATCTTTTAAAAAGATTTTACCTCTGTCTAGTTAAAAAAATGTATATATGCTCCTCCATGGCACCTGATCCCACTTCTGATGTTTTTGGAAGTCCGTGTTTGCTCTGCTCCAGATTTGTATTGTTTTAATGGACTTTGAGCTTGAATACTGTTCGTTATCTCCATATTTCATGTTACTGTGGTAGTTCGTATTCTAAGATATTAGTTTGAGTGAATAAATTGAACTGAAACTGAGAATGCTGACATCTATACATTTTGTACAAAACAAACATTTTAATTGAGAGATCGTAAAAGAAATCAACTTTTTTTGTTATTCATTTACAAATGTAGATTTGAAAAAAAAAAGAGTGGAAAGTTCAGGAAGGTAAATATACCTTTTCATTGGTGATTATGGATGGAAGACAGAAGGAATTACTGAGTATATTGCAAAGATTTGTTTTTAAGTTCATGATTTTTTTAAGCATGTTATGATAAGCATTAGATGTAAATATTAAATATTTCAATGCTTGCTATTTAGTACAATATTTCTTTTAGTATTGAATGGTTTAAGTTGGATGTTTATAATTCGTTTTAGAAACAATGCTCATTAATGTACTAGTTTTGCCAGAAAAATATCTGAACCAGGGATACAGACATGTAGGAGTAGTGGAGGCTTTACTTTGAATATCCCTTTACACATTATATCACAATTTGAGTTGTTGAAAATCCACTACTGATTTAATATTACTAGAAACATACGTTAATGTTACCTAACAACAAAACTTTATGGAAAACGTTATGACTTCAACTTTTCTATCGTCAAATGCCCTTATTTATAAAATAGGGACGTACGAACAATTTCTAAAACGAGGCAAACTATTGACAAACAAGTTAATGAAACAAGGATAGTAACCGTCTCGTTTGAAGTCAACATATCGCAAGTTCTAAAGTCGACCTTGTCAGCAAATACAATCTATTATTAAGATGAATGCTGACTGACGTTTTTCATACTAATTGTAAGGCTATTTATATTTACACACTGAATTGTCTACGGATTTTTCCGCTTGCCTGATGATGACAAAGGATCTCACGGCAGGTGTGACCGGTCCACAGGGGATGTTTACTTCTCCATGGCATCTCGTCCCACCTCTGCGCTCCCAAATTGTATTGTTTCAATGGATTTTGAGCTTAATTACTGTTCGTTATCTCCAACTTTCATCTATAATACTGACTCGTTTTAGTACAAATTATGTAACACGCCATTAGCCTTATGTGTTTATATCAAATTTGACTATGTAATGTTCCGTCTACCTAATCAATACATAGAGCTCACGGCGGGTGTGACAGGTCAATAGGTAATGCTTGTTCCTCCCATGCACCTGATTGCACCTCTGGAATTTCAGAAGGTCTGTGTTTTATGCCCTGTTGAAAGATTTGTATTGCTTGTTGATTTTTATGAGATCAATCCTTCACCTTCTTAATTGTAAATGTTTAACATGCATTGAACCTGACAGCAGGAAATAAAGAAATCCAGGGTTAATCAATTCTTTAAATAGCCATTGATAATCAATTTTATAACCCTATGTCGGAGAAACAGCCCAACTGAAAAACGATGAAAAGAAATAATTTTAGAAACTTTTATTTATCACTTGTGAAAAGATCAATCACTACTGGAATATATGTATTATAAGTGTCAATTATACGCATAAAACTTCAAGCATGCCAGAAGGAAGGGAAAAAAATACAATAGCAAATTATGTACTTGTAAATGTCACAAGTATATTAACATTACTTTGAACAACAAATAATTTATTCTTTCTACTTTCAACAAAAGAGAACATTTGTCGCGCATCCAAATTGTGACATCTAGATGGTCTCCATATCGTGATCAATATAAATGTATACAATAAAATATATAAATAGAGTAAAAAAAGCATGAAATGAGAAAGGTAATTAAATTTTTTTTGTTCCTACCTATCATTTATTGATAGGATTTAAACTATTTTTCGATTTTTTTCTTAGCTCAGCATATTTCTTTTCATATGTATAACAATTATAAAAAAATGCCGAAGTTAGAAGATAAAGCTGCAATGGGCATTGCAATTAGTAATAATCCAATCAGAGCAGTCATAGATGCCACTAAATACCCTAAAGCTGTTTTTGGATAGTGGTCTCCGTATCCAACAGTTGTTATGGTAACAACAGCCCACCAAATACTAATCAATATGTTGGGAAAAGTTTCTGCATTTTCAAACTCAACCCAAAACATTCCAGACCCAAAAATTATGGAGAAAATTGCAAATACCATAAAAAGAAGGGCTATGATTTTCCAACTTTTTAGCTCACCTGAGCCAAAGGCTCAAGTGCGCTTTTCTGATCACATTTTGTCTGTAGTCCGTCTGTCCGTCCGTCTGTAAACTTTTCACATTTTCGACTTCTTCTCAAGAACCACTGGGCCAATTTCAACCAAACTTGCCACAAAGTATCCTTGGGTAAAGGGGATTCAAGTTTGTTCAAATAAAGGGCCACGCCCTCTTCCAAGGGGAGATAATTAAGAATTCGTGAAAAATTAATTGCATCATTAAAAAATCTTCTTCTCAAGAACCACTGTGCTTGAAAACATGAAACTTATGTGGAAGCATCCTCAGGTAGTGTAGATTCAAGTTTGTTCAAATCATGACCCCCGGGGGTAGGGTGGGGCCGCAATGGGCGATCAAAGTTTTACATAGGAAATATACAGGAAAAATCTTTAAAAATCTTCTTCTCAAGAACAGCAAAGCCATGATTGGTCATATTTATATGGTAGCATCCTCAGGTAGTGTACATTCAAATTTGTTCAAATCATGACCCCCGGGGGTAGGGTGGGACCACAATGGGCGATCAAAGTTTTACATAGGAATATATAGGAAAAATCTTCAAAAATCTTCTTCTCAAGAACAGCAAAGCCATGATTGGTCATATTTACTTGGAAGCATCCTCAGATAGTGTACATTCAAATTTATTCAACTCATGACCCCCGGGGGTCGGGTGGGGCCACAATGGGCGATCAAAGTTTTGCATAGGAATATATAGGAAAAATCTTTAAAAATCTTCTTCTCAAGAACAACAAAGCCATGATTGGTCATATTTACATGGAAGCATCCTCAGATAGTGTACATTCAAATTTATTCAACTCATGACCCCCGGGGGTCGGGTGGGGCCACAATGGGCGATCAAAGTTTTACATAGAAACACATAGTAAAAATCTTCTTCTCAAGAACAGCAAAGCCATGATTGGTCATATTTATATGGTAGCATCCTCATGTAGTGTACATGTACATTCAAATTTGTTCGAATCATGACCCCCGGGGGTCGGGTGGGGCCACAATGGGTGATCAAAGTTTTACATTGGAACACATAGTAAAAATCTGTAAAAAAAACTATTTGTTAAGAATAGCAAAGCCATGATTGGTCATATTTATCTGGAAGCATTCTTAGATAGTGTACATTCAAGTTTGTTCAAACATGACCCCTGGGGGTCGGGTGGGGCCACAATGGGTGATCAAAGTTTTACATAGGAATACATAGGTTAAATCTTTAAAAATCTTCTACTCAAGAACAGCAAAGCCATGATTGGTCATATTTAAATGGAAGCATCCTCAGATAATGTAGATTCAAATTTGTTCAATTCCTGACACCCCCCCCCCCCAACCACTTTTATATTTAAACTTTTCAACCTTTCAAGATTGAAGTGATTTCTGCTTTTTCCTAGCCATAGTGCTCAGGTGAGCGATGTGGCCCCTGGGCCTCTTGTTTTAAAACATAGTCTTAAAATCTTCATTTCCGCTGTAGTTTCGGCCAAACGTAAGAGTCTGAGAACTCTAAGAGAGTACATAAATCCAAAAACCACTATAAATTTATCTACCTCTATCTTCTTGACAAACTTTTCCGACTTGCTATCAACATAACCAATCAAAAAGGAAATTACAACAGAAATAAGCTCTATAATGTTTGGTGGGTTTAAAATGAATGCTATCTTCTGATGGGTAATAATAAATCGCAATAACAAATCAAACAAGAGAAAAACGTTAGAAACAATTTCCAAAATAACAAGTTCCAAAGGAGCAACCTTGGTGTTTAACACAGTACGCTTTGGGTTACTAAAGATAAGTATGTACGTGTAATTATCTCGTATTGTAGGAAGGTTTTCTCTCCCGACACGAAATTCCCTGTGTGAATGTAGCAGGTAGCACGTAACAGCTGTTATTGTGGAGATACCCACAAGAAATAACCATACCTAAGGGAAAAAAATATATAAAATGTAAATATGTATAAAACTAAAACAAATTTGATTTTTTTTAAATTAAGCTTTAATTTTTTAAAAATTTTATTTTAAATTTGTCTAATGGTTATTTCATATTTAAGTATTTTTTATAAATTATTTATTTAATATAGTAGTTTCACATATCATTTATATTATTAAGCTTCCTGTACGTTTCTCTCTATTCAACAAATACCCAACTATTTTTGCATAGTGTTTAAGGAAGGATTTATATCACACTGTGCCGGAATAGTGCACGACTTCTTTTTATATAGAAAATCCAACAGCAAGCAGGCCAGGGGTCCAACTCACGACTCCGAGATCGTTGGTCCGACGCTCTACCAATTACGCCACAGAAACCGTTACTTGATATGTGTAATTTAAAGCATAAAAAAGTAGTTTCATATAAACTTTTTCATTTAATCATCTGTCAACAAAAACTTTGCCAAACGTTATTAATTTGCCTTGAAAAAGAGTAATAACCGAGGTTTTTATGAAAGGGCTCATATTTAACACCTTTAAAAATAGACAATAAATTCAAAATAGTGTCATGTAACCTTTTTTTTCTTTTTACTTAAATTTTTAAAAACTATCCGTACATTATACATGTACCTAACTGCACAAAACACTTAAAGACAATATGTGACGTACCACAATGTGATATCTTAATAGGGGTGTACTATAATGTTGACAAACAAAAAAAAAAAATCCATGTAAGGGGTGATGAAACAGTGGTAATGGAAAAAAAATATTCAAATTTCGTACTTGGTATTATTACCGTTTTTTCATCATTACACAATCTGGTTCCAGGGATATAATAATGAAAACGCTTGTTCGTATAACGCTTTAAAATTAAGGAATGATTTAACGTCTGCAAACGGGCATTTATTTAAATTGCCATTTTCATAGAACAGTAAGCCAAACAATAACAATAGTATTGTGTTTTGCATGTACTTTGCCTAAATAATACTCCGGGTTTGACACATGCAAGGAGGCAAGTGCTCCATATGTAAATCCCCTGACTGTTATTTAGGCATAGTATATGTAAAGCACACCACTTTTATATAATTAAATAGTTATTACAAATACACAGGGAAAAATTCACCACATGGAGCATAATCTGTATCTGAGAATAGCTTTCATGAACAAGGTAAACGCGAGTTAATAATATTATTCTATAGATTTAAACTATTTTCAACATTTTGCCAGACTCATTAAATCAGTACATTAAGAAAAACCATAAAATACACCGATAAAAATTACAACCAGAAGCGTCGCATGCGTGGCGCAGTGGTTAGAGCGTTCGCTCTAGAGTCGCGGCGTAAGGAGTTGATCCTTATATCGCGGGTTCGAATCCCACTGTGGGACGTGGAGACCGGTCCTTCGGATGAGACCGTATAAACCGAGGTCCCGTGTCGCAGTAGGTGCTGGCACGAAAAAGATCCCTCACTGCTCAATGGCCGTAAGTGCCGAGTATAGGACAACATTTGCAGCTCTCCACCGGCAAGTGGTGACGTCTCCATATGAGTGAAAAATTCTCGAGAGGGACATTAAACAACATACAAAACAAATACAATCAGAAGCAGGGGATTACATTTCAAAATAGCAATTCAAAGTCAATCTAGCAAATATTAATGATCCTTGCAAAATATGCAGCATTAGTATTAATGTAGATACGAATGTATATAGCTACATATATATCAATAATTTAAAACAATATGGGAATAAAAGACATTACTCCTTTCCTTTTTAATATGAGATCATTTAAAAAAAAATTAGAAAGAATTATGGCTAAAATTTACCTTTCCCAATAAACTGGAACTTGGAACTACCAATGCTTTGTTAATAGTTTCTCTAACGTCCAGAAGTTTACGACTCGAATATTTTCTTTCTCCTTCTGCTGGGCAAACGTCATTTATCATGCATTTCTCCATTTCTTCGATCGCTTCATAGCTAGACATATTATCATTGTACAGTACCTCGTAGCAGCATTTGGGTACAGCCTCAAGTGGGATCATCCAGAACTCTATTTCTTCTCTTACCTCGATTGCACATAAATTCTTTGGAAGATGCAATTTTCTACCAGACAAATAATCCAAAATATGATGGAATATTGCAGGGTTTCTATCAACAAAGTAACTACCGTCTGGCTTGACCTCTGCTCGACCATCTCTGATGGGACTGTCCATATACTCTCTAACTGCTTCAGAGCCTGTTATAAAATTATATATATAGTACAAAGTTATATATAGTTATAAAATATAGTACCCCGCAAACTGATACGAAAATGGTTAGCCATGAAACGTCTTTCTAAGCTGATGAAGTATATCGAGGCAATATCCTGGAACGCATCTGTGGTTTTTATTTAAATTATTACAATGTCGAAATGACCATTTGTGAATTGTCTTTCAGACTAATAATACATGTATCTGGATCCAAGAGCAAGTGGTCACACAAAGCAATATTGATCAGTCATTTATAAAATCAATCCTATTACAATAGCAGCATTTAAAATTATATTCTATTTATCTCTGATCATTGTTTAATGCAATGGATTTTAACTGCGGATACATGCTTGTAAACATCACAGGAAAAGACCGCGCGCATTTTTCGAAGTAATATTGAAAAGTGAATTTTCTGTTAAACTAGTCTAGAATCAATAAATAATTTCAGTATCAATAAATATATGTCAAACATGCAACATTACCAGAAACAGTTATGAAATCCCATTTATTGTTATAGGAAAGATTCGAAAAGAATAATATTTTTGCAATTTGAGGAATTTCAGTGTTATATAAGCGTACGAAAAGAGAAATCTATAATTATCTGAAATGGATAGTATGAGAAACATTTTTGGGGTATTACTTATTCCAAAACACACCCACCCACCCACCCACCCACACACACACACACACACACACACACGGTGTGTGTATATTCAGTTCGAACGGTAGGGAAGTTTAGACATTAAACACATTTTTATGTTCCGTTCACTCACACTAATTTTTTTTTTTATGTGCAGAATTTACATATAGTATATTGTATAGGATAGAGGTTTATAAGAGCTGAAATTCTTACACCTCCTGCAGGAATGATTTTATGCTCAATATTATTGCTAATGAACTTTTATTTCCTGGTTTCCTCTAGGTTTACTTGAATTTTCTTTAATCGAAATTGAGAGAACTTTTGCACAAAAAGAAATAGTCAGAGATTAAGATAGTGTTTCGTAGAATTTCATATATTTTTCTCATTTATGGAGCAATAGTGAATTTGGTAAGGAGCTTATTTCTTCACATGAACTATACTGTCTTGTGTCTAGATAATGCTGGTGAATGGTGAGTCGTAGCATCATGAACATGTATAAACCTCATTGAAACTGTATATTGAGATATGTTTGGGTTAGCAGGGGGTTCGGGAGGGGGAGGGGTGAGTTGGCATCTTTAATTTCAAATACTAGTATACTCTCAGATATTGTTTTAATTTATATACCAAATTATATGGGGAAAAATTTTTTCTGTGTTAAAAGGAGAAAAGAAGGCAAACAGTGTATTGATAGCTTTTTTACACACCCGAAAAAAACTGACAAAATTATGTGTCGGCTATTTGTTTTCGCTGGATTGCAATGTTTGCAGTATTACGCCACTAACAATAGCGCTTAATGAAATAATGACAAAGTGCTTCTTAAAAGGAAGGTATGTTGTTTTCAATGATTTTATTTATGAAATCATTTGTAACTGTATCTCGATCTTCTACTTTTACAAATACACATGTATTTGTTTTTATATTATCACACGGCGTCGGAATACACAGGATATGAAAAAATATCCATTGAGTGATATTTTATATATCCCTTACCAAAAAAAATATTAGTAAACTATAGTTAACTATAGTTTACAATTAATAGTTTACTATAGTGATACTTTGACACTTAGAAAATTTAACTAACCTATAGTAACCTATAGTGATAACTTTGAGACTTTGACTTATTAAAGTGATAACTTTGAAAACTTTATTTACTAAAGTGATAATATACTGATAACTATGAAAACTTTGATTTAATATACTGATAACTATGAAAACTTTGATTTACTATGGTGATCGCTATGAAAACTTTGATTTACTATGGTGATCACTATGAAAACTTTGATTTACTATGGTGATTACTATGAAAACTTTGATTTACTATGGTGATCACTATTAAAATCTTTGATTCATTATAGTGATAATTTTGACACTATAGTGATCACTTTGAAAACTTCGATTTACTAAAGTGATAACTATGACACTATATTGATCACTTTGAAAGGAAAACTGATTTTATATAGTGGACACTTTGAAAACTTTGGTTTACTATAGTGATCACTATGATACTCTAGTGATAATTTTGAAAGATTTTATTTACTATGGTTAACTTTAGTTTACTGTAGTATTTTTTTGTTAGGGATGGACTATATTTTAATAAAAACTCTTTATAAACAAACATCTTTATATACATTTTATCTGAAATGGTATAAATTATAAATTTATAAAACAAATACATTAACGAAAACAATTAAAATAATTTTCTTTGTCAGTCACATCTCTATTTAGAGCACCAATGCAACTAAATTAAGCATTATAAAGATGTTTGAGAAAGTCAAAGGTTACAGAAAAATCGTCTATCACTACCATCTCCACATCAAGAAGATTAGCCACAACGACCCAGAATGTATAGAAAAGCAAAACATCCACTCCTCCTGCAGAAACTGATGGTTCTTTTGCCTCAAATAGGGGTTCCTCAAGGATTTGTCATACGGCAAGAGAATGCAATGATGAATACTGGAAACAATGGTAAGATTAGAAGATAAAAAAGGCGAAGATTAATGAGAATGACAGCGCAAGTCACAGCAGTAAAGGAAAGACGGAAAAATAAATGATTGAAGAAAAGAGCTTAATGAAAACAGTGGTGAATAGTGGTATAGTGGTTAAAAAGGAAATATGAAACATAAAAAAGGCTAATAATGTTTAAAACATAGTATATAACATGTAACCATATATTAACAGATTATATATTATTTAAAAAACAAACAAACAAACAACCAACCAACCAACCGACCAAACAAACAAACATACAAACAAACAAAAACAGAACAAAATTCATTTGCATTACGTTTATATATTGAAAACTCTACAGCAGAGAGAAATATTTTTCAACCCTTCTGTTGAGTATTAAGTGTAAATGAATCATGGTTGAATACTTGTTTGCAAAGGAGCCTCGCTGTCAGTCTCTGTAACATTAGTCGAGGGGACCTTAGGATTTTGCTTGCATGTGAAACATTCAGGAAGTGTTTTAGAAATGAATGCGTGGTACATCTTGAATTTAGCTCTCCGTAAATCAACACGGTTCGCTTTTTCAAACATTTTTTGTATTTCTATTTTATTTTCATCGTTAAGCTCATTTTTTCCACCATGAAATAAAATAGACAACACATAAGGAGAAGTGAAGATAAGGCCATATTGTGTCAGGTCAACAAATTCTAACTTCCCCAAATCTTTGCCAACAGTGAGGGTTTCTATGGTAATGAAAATATAGGACGAAACAACTATTGTTTTAAATATTGCAAAATAAATTTTTGTTTTGACAAAACCAAGATTTTTTAAAATATGATTGAACACATCTTGTCCTATAAAAGTTTGACCATACTTCTCTTTTGCAAGGGAACATACATAAATGAGCACTGATGTAATTAAATCCATCACTTCCTTGTAATATTGCATAAGGTAGATAATGACGGCCACAGCGTAAATAAAATATTTAAAGATGTACTCTCTTACTGGGAGAACAACGAAGAGTATGATAGTAACGGATCGAAAGACGAACAGAAAAGACGATATTATGGGACGAAAGGAGAAAATTGATAAAATTAGGATGATGAAGGCAAGAAAGGAGTCCACAAATTTTCGTTTGGATAAAGTTTTCATGAAATGATGTGTTACAAATGGAATGAGAGGAAGAAAGCAGAAAACCAGCTGAACAGCAAATTCAACTAATGCCAGCATAAGGTAAAGTATGGAGGCACATTTTACTAGCAAACAACAATTTCTTCTTTTGGTGGATCTAAAAATCCTTATCTTTTTAGTATTTTTTAGAATAACTGTCTGATGTCTGTGAGCAGAAGATGATTTAACACAAGTCCAACAAGCTATATTACCAATTTGGTCACTAATATAGCAAATTAAGTCCCACAACAGACCGACTCTTGCCATCAGTTTATCACATACAGTTACTGACTGACTTGTCTGGTATCCGAGTGCAAAGGAATACATTTTATATTCATTTTGAAATATATTATTATGATAAAATATAAAGATTACGACACCAATAAGAGACCCAAATACGGCAAACATCCAGTCACACTGAAGAACGATATTGTCATTGTTATTTATGCTGTTGCACATTGGCTCACTTGCACGAACGACATGTCTATAATCTCCATATTCTCTATCAGCTAAAACTTTTCGACCTAATGTTCTGTATATTGCAACAGGAAGTAAAATGAATATGTACAACAGAAGAATAAGTCTCACAGAGGGCAAATTTATGATTTCTGTGAATACTGATTTTGAAACTGGTTTCCGATTAATCCCTGATGTGTGAAAGTCACATTTACATCGATGAGGAGTAATCTTTGAATGGAATATTTTCTTTACAAATCTGTGAAATCCATATGGTCTTTCATCTGGAAAATAATAACACGAGCATTTAGGGCTTGCAGAAAATTGACGCTTTGTAATTTTTCCTGCACTGGTCTCTTGAATAGTAATAGTTTTTCCTTTGGTAGCTTTTTCATCATTTTCTGCTAGCAGGTCGTCTGAATCCTTTGCTTTTTGAACTTCATGAATCTCAATTAGTTTAAAAATCCATATAAATTCTAATGCTAAAAAGAAAGACAGAAGAGGTGACAGAAGAGACTGTGTCTTACTGCTTACACCTGGGTTTTTAAAACTTTTTAAATTGGGCTCATAACACAGAAAATCATATCCTATCCATATCGTAGTAAAATAATACAAAACATCTTTGAACTCCTGATCGTCAAATTTCTGATGGCAGATAATGAATTCATTGGACGTATTGTGTGTAAGATGCCATAGATAAGAATAGATATTAACTATCGTTGTAAAATCATCTTTTAAATCACAGGTCCTGTTTTCGTCCTGAATACTCAGAGGTTGTAACTCAACATTGCTTTCCTCGTTTAAAAACTCAAGCATATTAAACGTCACAATATCAAAATCAACAGGAAGAATATTAAGCAAATAATCTCCTTTTCTGATGTACTGCCATTCGAGTAATCTGTTTTTCACTAACGGGGATATCGTCTCTGGCAAGCCCTTAGGAGGTGAAATGTGCAGATAGATGAGAAAGAAATCCTGTTTAACCATTGTCTCAATCTTTGTCTTAGTTTTCTCAGAAATATTCCTATCAACGTTCTGCAACGTTAAGTAAATAATGCAAGGATCCAAGTGGTCATGATCATTACCTGCTCTAGAGTTATTTTCGAGAGTTCCATTCCTGTCTTTCGTTAATAGTGCAGGTATAGAAACTGATTGGTTCTTAACAGCAAAAGTTGAGTTTTGAAGAATAGTACTTATGTTCTGTTGCCAAACACTTTGGTTCTGCTTGGTTATGGATCTTCTAAGTTTGGTGCCTGATTTATATTCGAAATTATCAACATATTTTCTTGTTTCATTTTTGTCATTCTCATAAAGAAAATGCCCCATAAAGAAAAACAAAAGAGCTAATTCCACCAACAGCAAAAGTAACACAAATGTCTTCATTCTACAACTCATAATCTGTAAATCAGAAAGTTTAATAATAAGAGATTAAATCATATATGAATAATTAAATTAAATGAATTTGTTAAATGTAGAATATGAAAAATATAGGATTGCTAGAATTATTGTCTAACTTACCGATTATGGAGCCCATGTAGCGATGTCCAAGGATATTTTATTGAGTTTGTGACGCAGTTTATATTGAATCAGGACAAAGTACTCCGCCTTCAAAGAGCTTGTCCACCTTTATCCACTTTATAATTTATGCAGTATTCTATTTTCCACGTATCCTTTTTCGATTTTATCTTCAGGTTACAAAACACATGTAGAAAGAATCATGGCCCGAAAAGAAAACTTTAAAGATGATATGTTTATCTATATACTATATTCTTACAGAATGTCGTTATTACGTAGGAACTACTAAATATTTTTTTTTATCAACTTTTCATTTTATACCTAAAGAATCATTATATATATATATATATCAGTGTTCATTCTTGCATAGTCAGTATTCATTCTTGCATAGTCAAGAAATTTGAAATTTCATCTGAAACAGCCTCAGCTGGCATTGTTAATTTACAATGGTCGGTGAATCTTAAATGAATAGCCTAGGTACAACTTATCATGAGACAGACAGCGATAATTCCTTTCACCGGAGACATGTCCTGTATATGAGTCCCGTAAATTAACATTCGCATGTAATATGATATATAAAGATAGACGTGTATAGATTGACGTATTGATAAGATGCTCTGATTGTTGCAAGCATATTTCAAAACGTCTGTTTAATACGTGGGTGGATCCAAACGTCTGTTATTTACGTGGGTGGATCCAAGAGTAATGTAACAACTGCTATAAAATCTTAATGAAAATGTTATCAACAAAAAAATTAATACCTCTATTTAGTTTGACTTTTGTCTTAAATTTTCATTCAGATGTATGCAGTTATTCTTAAAATATTAAAATAAACACAATGTTGGTCTCGTCTATCGCCGCAAGGCAAGGATGTTATGGATGTCGTTATGATGTTTCTCAACGGTAATAATCTAATTTCAGTTCATCTGTAACTAAGATCTACACGAATGAATTTTACTATAAATTTGGACAAAGTTCAAATTATTTTAATACAACTCCAATACAAGACGTTTTATAGCAAAATTGCAGTTAAATTATTAAAAAGAACTACGTGAGATGTTTAATAAAATATGCAAGTGAACTGAAAATAAGTGCCGAAAAGTAACGACATAACGACATCGGTAACATTCTTGCCGTGCGGCGATAGACGAGACCCAGCGTTGTGTTTATTTTAACATTTTAAAAAGTACTGCATATATCTGAGTGAAATTTTTAGATAAAAATTAAAATAGAAAGGGAAATTAGTATGCAAAAATTTGTTTCAACCGTCGTACCTGTAGATTTCTCCCATTTTTTTTTCTTTTCTTATAAGTTTTGAACAATTGCTAAAATTTTGTAGAGATTTGTAATAATAAATGATAAACAAATATGGCCATCAATAATTTTCTAAACTCCTCACAAGCGTTCTGCCAGTTCTTGACATAAATATTTTGTTCTTAGTATTAGCCTTTCCTTGGTATACGGCAACCTACAATATTTTATTTTGAATCTTTTTTCCCCTGAAGCTACCTTTACATAACAAAGGACATGTTAAAGTATGGTTTGATTTTAGTGTTTTGAATTATGTAATCATCGACCTTGACAGATACCTAAAGGTATCATATGAATTCATCTGCCGACAATAATGTACCTTGTTTACGTTTCAAACGTTGTCGTTAAATTGGGTGGAAGAGGCTGGAAGTTTTGTTTACAAATATAATGGGAAAGTTAAAAATGTATGGCTGGACCGGGAATCGAACCCGGCACCCCTGCATCACTAGTCAAGTGCTCTACCGACTGAACTACCCAGGCCGATATACACGGCCCAAACCAAAACATTCCTCCCTCCTTAAATTGTCCTCGCCCTCGAAGACACAACCCAAGTTCTTATTAGCCCCTGGCAGAACTTTCACCTGCAAGTCCAGGGGTGGTAAACGGCACCAAATCTGTAACAGGAAAGGAGAAAATGTTTGGCTAGACAGGGTATCGAACTCGGGACCCTTGCATCACTAGTCAGGTGCTCTATCGACTGAATTACCCAGGTCCAAATCATTACACAAATATTTGAGACCCAATTCTTCAAAAATCATGTGCTGTAGATTGAAAATCATTAAATACCAACCTTTGAGAGAAAAGGGATTGAGGGTATATTGTAATGTATAGGACCAACAAAAATAATGAAGCATAATATAAAGGAGTAAAAAATTTGCTTTCTGCAATAGGAATTTAAATATAAAGCTGTGCACAAAACTACCCCTTAAATTCATATTCATATGTTTTTTAAATCTTTTTCTATATTTTCTATATAACAAGACATATATATATATATATATATATATATATATATATATATATATATATATATATATATATATATATATATATATATATATATATATATATATATATATATATATATATATACGTGTGTATATTTATGTTTGAAAAAAAATACTTGTAGGAATTAGTTGTGTCTTGTACATGGACGTAAATTGCATTTTTTTACATAGAACTCTGTACAAAGAAAATTACTTATTAGAAAATATCTTACATTTTAAATATCTTATGCTACTTCACGTTTATTAAAAACTTTATAGTACTTAAAAACACATTCATTAATTACGCAGCTCCTGATATATTGATCAGAATTTACATTCCTTTGGTTGTCTTATGTTTTGATACTCCCGGTTTGTGGCAAATTGTACCAAGTTGATATAAGGAAATAGGCTATAAATGATATTTGCAATAAGCCTATCTAGCCCTTTATCACATTTTCGACACGAGTCCAAATATAATAAAAGACATGCGGTTAGACTTATCATGCACATTAATATCTTTTTCTTTACCATTTACAATAATTAACTTTTAAAGCATTTTTTTGGTTGCTTGATAGTTCATCTCTGCTAAATCGAAGCATGAGATATTCATCCTTCCACATATAAGTCCGGACAGTTTGAAAAAAAAAATGAACCACTTACAAACTTAAAACAGATGATTGATATTAATATTCATTGCATAACATTTAATCAATATCTTGTATAAATTAAAAACAATGGACAATAAGAAGATTGTAAGAAAATTACTTCAACTTAACTGCAACAAAAAGGGGGTTAAAATACAGAGAATTTATTACATGTTTATTGAGTGCAATTTAAATTATGCATGTGAAATGTAGCTTCAGAGAACACAGAATTCATCAAATGAAATATGGAAGATAAAGAATAGTATTCAAACTCGGAAGTCCAATGAAACGATACAAATTTGGAGCAGAGCAGGCACGGACCTCAAAATTTAGAGATAGGATCAGTTGCCATGGAGGAGTAAGCATCCCCTGCCGACCGGTCAAATCCACCGTGTGCTCCTTGTCATAATCGAAAAAAAAACCCGGAAAAATCCATAGACAGTTCAGTGTATAAATAATGGCCTAACAATTAGTATGAAAAACGTCAGTCAGCATTTGATTCAATGATAGGTTGTATTTGCTGACAAGGTAATTGTATCGACCATAAAAAGCGAAATGATGACTTCATTTTAGACTGTTCATATCCTTGTTTCATCAACTTGTTTGTCAATAGCTTGCATCGTTTTAGAAAGTGTTCATACGTAGAGCATACTCTTACGTATCGAATCAATTTAGAGATATAAACCCCATATACAGGTGATAGGGGTATATTGCTACATAAGTAAGGGAAGTTGACGATTGAAAAGTTGAACTCATCAGGTTTATCATGAAGCTTTGTTGTTAGGTTACCATTAATATCTTTTTCTAGTGAAATATCTAAATATGAAACAGATGTGTCAGAATCTGTGGTATCTTTTTTTTAAGCTCACTGAGATATATCGAGTCGATATATGAATGAAAGTAACTATTGTTAATTGATAATACGTCGTTGATATATCAAAATGTCGAAGTGAAGGCCACAGCAAGTGATTTTTTTCTTCTTATGTAGAAGTTTTTGAATAAATTTTGCTTTATATGACAAAAATAGATTTTGCTTATAACGGGGCGCAATTGGTACCCATGGGAATTCCAACAGATTGTTGAAAGACCTTTTCCTCAAAAACTCACTAAATACTTATGATACTTATCTCAATATTTCATAACTAGTTAACGGAGGTTGCAGTGAATGATGTTCTTGTTGGAAAATTGGGGTCCTGTTATGGAAAAACATGCATCGAACAGCAGGAAAGACAAAGATGGAGGCGATGTACCAATCCAACACCAAAAACTGGGGGACGAAGATGTTATGGAATCTCTAGGCAGACTTCATCCAAGCCATGTTTGTAAAAGGGTGATTATAAACTTTTTAATGGTTTTGATCGGTTGATTTATTGTAGTTGTACGTCCCTTGCAAGGTTTTCTATCTCATATGAGGCATCACTGCCAGTGAAGGGCTTCAAATTTATAGACCTTCACTTGGCATTCAGGGTCATTGAGCAGTGAAGGTTCTTTAGCGTGAAAACGCCTGCCCTGACAGAGGACCTGGCATTTTATCCGAAAAACTCGCAACTTTCACTTCAAGTTGCCAAGCGCTTGGAGAAGGAACAGTTGCTACCAATTTTATATCGACTTAGGTTTGTTGCGGTCGGGACTCGAACCCGACCTTCTTCACTTTGATAAGGCGCCCGAAACAAGAATCAAACCCGGACCTTGACATCAGAAAGCGAGTGTCTAATCACTAGACTACCGCAAACAGGGGTCACATCGACAACACTCAAGTATGAGAAAAAATGGACAAGCATGGGGACGACACATTTCAGAGTATTCTGGTAGCTAAAGAGTATAAAACAATTTTTATTCAAAACGAAAGTGTGGTTACAAGTATAGGTCATCTGTTCATCGATAGATTGCAACTTTGATCACTTGATGCCTGATG